TTGGATATAGGAGGTCTTGAGGAAGAAGTAAGCTGAGGAGAGAGAATGTAATCTCAAAGAGTGAAGGAAAGAGCTTAGATCCTCCGGAATGGCTCTCTATACCCGGATCTTCACCACATAAAAAGACTGCTCAAAATAATAATAACCTTTAAGGCATCCAGGTGAAAGGATGACATCAGTATGTGATGGCGCTGAGACCACCCGGTGGTCTCAGTCACGAAAGGCAGTGTTTGACACCGTAGAGACCCGGTGGTCTCAGTCACGAAGGGCAGTGTTTGACACCGTAGAGACCCGGTGGTCTCAGTCACGAAAGGCTGTGTTTAACACCGTAGAGACCCGGTGGTCTCAGTCACGAAAGGCTGTGTTTAACACCGTAGAGACCCGGTGGTCTCAGTCACGAAGGGCTGTGTTTGACACCGAAGAGCCCCGGTGGTCTCAGTCACGCAGGGTTGTGTTTGACACCGAAGAGACTCGGTGGTCTTAGTCACGAACGGTCATGTTTCTCGTGACCTATCTCTGGCCAGCAATAATTAACAGAAGAACAATTAACAAAGAATCCACTTAATATTAATCTAATTGTTTATCAAACGTCCATGTTCCCGTCATTCCTAGTTATTAACGTAGCTGTATGTGAATTGCTTGTTATGGCAGTTACATGAAACATGGAAGCAAATAGTGTGCATGTCTTTACCTAACTCTGCCTACCTAACTGGGCTTCACCGGGGATCGAGATCTAGGTTTTTGGACCTGCTTCATCGTTATTTGTTGCATTTATACCTAACCGAAGATTTAGTACTTTTGTACTAAATAGCTACTTATGGTTTGTGTACTTATTCTTGAAGCTGTGAATGGAGGTGGCTTCCATCACCATACTGCTACCAGAAGTGCACTGTGTGTGCTCGCCTAGTTACATGTGCTCATCTAGTAGTCCTGAGAGGGTTGAACTTCGGCTCTTTGGTGCCGCCTCTCAACTGTCAATCTACTGGTGTACAGATTCCTGAGCTTATTGAACTCTGTCATATCTACACATGAAACTGTGTGTGTGTGTGTGTGTGTGTGTGTGTGTGTGTGCGTGTGTGTGTGTGTGTGTGTGTGTGTGTGTGTGTGTGTGTGTGTGTGTGTGTGTGTGTGTGTGTGTGTGTGTGTGTGTGTGTGTGCGTGTGTGTGTGGTGTGTGCGTGTGTGTGCACGCGCGCACGCGGGATAATACGTGTGTAGTCCGCCCTCAGGTCACTTCCCACATCGGTCGATTCTTCCGACAAAGTAATCTGAAGGAGGATCGTGCTGACAGTGGTTCCGGCCTGAGTCCGCCTCCTGGCTCTGTGACTCCCATTCTTGTAAGCCACAGACGCACTGGGACGCTACCAGAGCCAGCGTTCCTCTACCAGACGACTCCACAATGGGCGCTGGGCTTAGGAACCACAAGAAAACTCTGGTAGCTGCGCCGTTATCTCTTCTGCAAATCTCTCACTCCCATCTTTCTTGACAGCAGGGAAAGAACTCATACGACGGTGTCTAAGTAACCAAGCCCAGCTTTACAACGTTGTATAACTTAAGAACATAACATAAGAAGCTGCAGAAGGCCTTTTGGACATACAAAGAAGCTTCTATTTATATTCACTAAATTCATTCGTATACATATATATATATATATATATATATATATATATATATATATATATATATATATATATATATGTCGTACCTAGTAGCCAGAACGCACTTCTCAGCCTACTATGCAAGGCCTGATTTGCCTAGTAAGCCAAGTTTTCATGAATTAATTGTTTTCGACCACCTAACCTACCTAACCTAACCTAACCTAACTTTTTCGGCTACCAAACCTAACCTAACCTATAAAGATAGGTTAGGTTAGGTTAGGTAGGGTTGGTTAGGTTCGGTCATATATCTACGTTAATTTTTACTCCAATAAAAAAAAAATTGACCTCATACATAATGAAATGGGTAGCTTTATCATTTCATAAGAAAAAAATTAGAGAAAATATATTAATTCAGGAAAACTTGGCTTATTAGGCAAATCGGGCCTTGCATAGTAGGCCGAGAAGTGCGTTCTGGCTACTAGGTACTACATATATATATATATATATATATATATATATATATATATATATATATATATATATATATATATATATATATATATATATATATATATATATAAACCTACGCGTGAAACAATCCAGCGATCCAATGTCTAATTTTATTACCAGAAAATTTGTTCCATAAATCAACAACCCTATTTTCAAACTAATATATACCCAGATCTTTTCTGAATCTCAACGTATTCCATTTGTATCTATTAACTTGAACGGTACCTTAAACTTAATGGAGACTGCAAATAAGCTGTTGATTATTTATTCAACTAGTATAAATGAACCGCAAACTAGTGTCTCTGGTCAATGTGTTGCAATTGTCAATGGAAATTTCACAATTTTCCCAACTTTCTTATATCTTCTTTCGTGTTTGAAGACGTTGCGTTGTTGCAGTATTGTCCTTCTCTATTACACTATGTTCCTGTATTATTATTATTTTGCTTGATTAAAAGCAAATCAATTAGGGAGCGACAGTGAAACGAAACCTGAAGATACCTGCCGTATTTTGTGTAGGAGTAATTTGGTCAACACTTTCTGTCTACTAATGCATCTCATTTTTTGCACCATGGTGCATGTTGTATATGTTATATGATAAAGTCTTCTGCTTAGGTCTTATAATAGGACGGTATATCGGTTATACCGTCCATTATACCGTATATCTATTATACCGTATTATTAGGTCTTATGGTAGATATATATAACAGAAACCTGCCTATGTCGCTGCATATATATATATCACAATATATCACAATATATCACGAAAATATCACAAATATATCACTGACTTCCATGCCAACACTTGATTCTGTAGAAGCTTCGCAAGAGGAGGTAATATTGACTCCCCGAATGATTTGATTACTTACGTTTGTTTTAAATTAGACGACAAATATCCCTGAATCGCAATTGCTTAAGCACGAGTCCCCTAGTTATGATTTATAATGCACGGTTACTGCAAGAATAAGTATGTAACAGTGATGCAAGATCATCGTACATATGGCAATTGCAGGTAAGATATAACGACGATATCGACTGGGAGAGTTGACGCTAAAATATTTATATATTGAGAAAGAGTGCACTATTAGCAATATTTCTGCAAGATAGCGAAACGCAAGTAATATGCAACAGCAGTATATATGTCAATGGATGTTTTTGTTGAAATGTATACAAGATGCATTTTCAGTGTTGTTTATATCCTAGGTAATATCCTTCTCTCTCTCTCTCTCTCTCTCTCTCCTCTCTCTCTCTCTCTCTCTCTCTCTCTCTCTCTCTCTCTCTCTCTCTCTCTCTCTCTCTCTCTCTCTCTCTCTCTCTCTCTCTCTTCCTCGCACACGCAGAAAGAAAAATTGAAAATAATTATGGATACTCCCTTGCACGGTGGCCGCTCAGTATTTCTTAGTGTGATGGGCAGTCTCTTGCAGCCTGATATGTTGTGTATGACCGTTCCATGACTGATCGTGAGTCTGTATTGTGTGTCTGTATCTGTCTGTGTTTGGTTTTTGTATCGTTTGTTTCCAGGGATTTGTGTCTATGTGATAGATCTCACTTAGAAGGTTTTCTGTTTGTTGACATGTGTTTGTTGTGACACCCACTGTGTACTGTACACACTGTGTGTGTACTGTATGTGTATGTGTGTTGTGTATTGTGTGTATTTGCATGTGTGTGCCCACTTCTGCAGTTTCAACAAAAAATTAATATTGTTTTGCAAGAAAAAGAGTATTCTTTTTAGGTCATCTGATCGATTCCAAATCTCACGTCATGGAAGATAAGACAGAAACTGTGAGGCAAATAATTCAGCATTTACGGAATGTCGCTCGAGGTGTGACCTGGTCAGTGACCTGGTGTGACCCTCGTCAGTGGCCTGGTGTGGCCTTTGAAGTGATCTGGTCTGACCTAGTCAGTGACCTAGTGTGACATTGTCAGTGACCCTATCCGTAAACCACACACGTAAGATGGTGCACGAATATCACAGAGTTTTTCTTGGCTTTGGATCGCATGACGAGATGTAATCGCCGCGTGCGGTGGGTATACTCGCCTATTTGTGCCTGCAGGATCGAACTGTCACTTTCTTCTGCCGACCTCTCAAGTTTGTGCGAGTGTGTTTACCAGTGCCATTGTGTATGTTGTAACATAGCCTAACTCATCCCTCGGATACTGATACGACATCAAGCCAAACAAACTACACTGGATAGCTGAAGTAGAGGCATGCAAGGCTGTACTCACCTCAGCAGGGAACATCTGGCCTTGGATGCTGTGCTCAGAGCCGAGAGTGTGGGTTGTGCGGGCGGCGTTGGACCACCTGAGGACGGCGTGGGTCAAGGTGTGGGTGTAGTGGAGAGGTCCCCCGGAGACCTGCCACACCTGGCTGCTCTCAACCGTCCACCGCAAACCAAAGCCAGTGTTGGTGAGCGTTCCGTCCAGCTGTATGGAAGACGGGCGACAACAGCGCCAGAAATAGACGTAATAATGAGATATATAAATACGTCAAAATGGCTTCCTTGTAATATAGAATTCCTATAGGGGTTGAGATTAACTATAATAGTCAGTTTAATAGAGATAGATAATCTCAGTTAACAAATGCAAAACTGATATACTCTACTACCTTAACAGATAACTTTATTCCGGGAAGAAAAATATATTTCAAAGAGAGAGAGAGAGAGAGAGAGAGAGAGAGAGAGAGAGAGAGAGAGAGAGAGAGAGAGAGAGAGAGAGAGAGAGAGAAAGAGAGATTTACATTGTGAAATGCAAGATGTATCAACAAAAGTGGGTGTGATATGGGAAAACAGATCTGATGAGAGAGAATTTAGCCTACCTTGTGAGAAGCGAGCACCAGGCTGGAGAGAGTGTGGTCGAAGACGATGGAGGAAGTGGCCAGGTCCACGGGGGATTGCCGGCGACCATCACTGCATAGCCTCCAACGCCGGTTGATGATCCCCCAAAACCCGGGGCCAGAAATTCCGTCATAACTCCACCATGAGGACCAGTCAAACTCTGTCTCGCCTCCTGAGACCAGGCAGGAAGGGAGAAAGTTAAATACTACGTTAGCTGTGTTGTTGTTGTTTTAGATTCAGCTACATGGAACAAAAATTCCAAGTAGCCCGGGGTGTGGCGAGCCCGTAGTGGACTTACCTGGCACAGAAGCGGGGCTGTGTCTGGTTATCTGAGATGTTGAAGGTGTTACTTCTATCTTGACTTCCTTGTGGGTTACTTGAGTGAGCCGGTTTGTGTGTTTTCGTTTGCGGGAAAGTGTGGATTTGGGTGTACTGTGAATACACACAAGATTATAGTCACATGCCTATAACCTTGTGTCGACTTCTGTTCAATAATACAAATATTTACATCGAATATTAACGCCAATATACGGTATACCACAGACACACTGACACATGCGCACAAACACACTGACACACGCACACAGAAACATATTGACATGCGCCTACACACATAGACTCTAATTGATTTCTAAACAAATATGAAAGCATTATTTTCATAAAAAGCTAAATATTGGCTAACCGATAATAAATTATTATTAATATCTCGTCCTTGCAATACTACTTGTTAGTAATTATTAATTTTAATTACTTTTACGTGGAATTTAGAGTCATGATTTTTTATTTTGTTTTGTTTAGAATATTCATAATAATTTCAAATGGAAAACTTGCAGATAATAAAATACTCTCCCCGCTTCTTATACAGTAAACAGTAAGATGGATTCAAATGTTACGGTAGTTCATGTGGCGGGGGAAAAATTTAAGTTTAAGCTTTAATATAAGCTTTAATACCATAAATATATATATATATATATATATATATATATATATATATATATATATATATATATATATATATATATATATATATGTAATTTACATATTTCGTGCATATTAACTTACACAGGAACCGGCTGCAATATTGCATGGAATAACTTTAATATTGCAGCCGGTTACAATGCACTTCATCAAAGCTTTAACAGCAATTTAAACTAATCCAAATGCATAACAATTGACTCGGTGAGAGTGAGTTTCATATTTTTCAACCAAGTTCTAAGCATCTGAGTAAATTCATAAAATTCTCATATAATCTTAATTAATATTACTTGAAAATTACATTAATATACTGTAAACGATTAGAATTTAAGATAAAAGGAATTTCATATATATTTATGATAGAGAGAGAGAGAGAGAGAGAGAGAGAGAGAGAGAGAGAGAGAGAGAGAGAGAGAGAGAGAGAGAGAGAGAGAGATTCAGCAAGAAATTGAGAAACAAAGAAATACACACACACGCACACACTCACACACATTTATATATATATATATATATATATATATATATATATATATATATATATATATATATATATATATATATATAAAATAAATAATATAAGTGAGATAAATATTTCTCCCGAGAGCTAGAGGGAGCTAAGCACTTTTGACGTACACTCTGCACTCAGATGGAGAAAGCAGGTCCGCTGTCACAGCCAGTCATCCTTGCTGAGTCTTAAAAAATAATATTATATATATATATATATATATATATATATATATATATATATATATATATATATATATATATATATATATATATATATATATATATATATTATCCTCAATCATAATAATAATTAATAAATAATAATGATAATAATAAATGAGCCTACTACCCAAGAAAAGACTGGCTTCACTCTACAATCACTGTGCTCAGGCACTTTCTGACCCCCCTCACACCCCACAGTGTTCCTGGAATTAAATCATAATAACCTCGTAAAATGTGACTCTACGGTCATATTTCGTGCTGGCGATATTTCGTCGACAGCTGTCATTGAAGGTTAGCCAGGCTTCCCGAGCATTTAAAGAACCCCCCTTCTCCCTGGCGAATTATTATACCAGAGCTGACGTGACCTGAGTCAGTACCTCATCACAGGTCGACTCTCGTGTTCATTGCATTGCTGAGTCCCGCCCTTGCAAATTCGTGGAGTGGCCTTGATACTTGTGGTGTAATTTACGTCTGACCTCAAGCTCTTTTATGATGCTAGAGGGTAGTGATGTAGCGCTGCTTGCTAATCTTGCTCCTAGTAATTGTTTACGAGAGCGGAGGTTCATTTATGGAACAAAGAATAGGGTAACATAATATACGAGGAATATATGGATTGCTACAAGGGTAGATCAGATATTATATATGAATATGTTTGGGTGGATATAAATAGGAACTTGCTTGTTTTGACCAAAAGGCCTTTTGCAGATTCTTTTATTCTATTGTTCTTTTGTTCAGACTAGTCTTTACTGTTTTCGAGTTCGATGGTGAATTAGACCTCTGTAAGTTAAGACTCTCACTTGTTAATTGATTATTTTACTATTTACATCGATAATGTATTATTACACAGGTGTGAGCTTTAAAAACATACTTTCATAGATCAAGAGAGAAGATGAAACTTTGATGTGTTTTGACTGGAGTTTTGAGGGATTTTGACTGACTGTGGTAGACTGTGGTTATCTATCTGCTTTCCCACGTCCCTTCTCTGTGAGAACGTAGGGTGGAAAGTGAACGTATTATGACTGTGACACTCCTGGGGAAACTACCAGGCCTCGTGTACACTAGTTATCCTGAGTTTGTCATTATTTACATTAGTCTGTCCGGTTTATGAATACAGGAAGTGTACATGTATCACAGTCTTTATTTAAATAATAATCGTGGTTTATAACGATAATTACACTCGTGTTGTACATGCAATAATCTTCTTTCTTACACTCCTGGAGGGAATAAACTGTTCTCTCTTTGTATAAGTATTATGGGTAGGTCGAAAAACTTTCTGCTCCTTTCCTACTTCTACGCACCCTTTTCTTCTCCACAACTATATTGTTTTTATTTTCCAATATTCCTTTTCATCCCCCCTTTCATCTCCAGTTATTCCGAGAACATTCCTCCTTCTCTTTCTATTTTAAAAACTCTGTTAAAATAGTATTAACACATCCACTAACAATTATTTGATCTGCAACTACCAACTAATCATGGCGGCTCCAACATGATGACAGCGAATGAATTCACAAGGCACTACGAGTATCTTATAATTATATCTTGCTATCATTTACAGTTTAATGTCATCATATTTTTCCTGAGATAACACAAAGCAATTTTCAACAGGACAAATGGAGAACGATGCTCATGCTTTTGTGGGGAATGTTTTACCTGTAAGTTAAATCAAGGAAACTGTGTGTTAAGGTACGATAGGTGAGATGGTGTGGGCGAGGGACAGTTTTTGCAAGGAGAGTATTGTAACAAAACATATGGAGATCAGTACGTTCATTCCCTTCGACGCTGTTAGCTTCTGGTGACATTGGTTGGGGCGCAATGAAGGAGACTATCAGGGTGAATGATGCAATTACTACCATTACTACTGCCACAACTATTACTACTACTACTACTACTACTACTACTACTACTACTACTACTACTACTACTACTACTACTACTACTATTGTAACTACCATGAACACTGCTACCACTACTAGAGCTAATACTCCCTTTGCTACCTTTACTGATAATCTTTTTACAACTGCTGCTATACACACTCTCAAACACACACACACACACACACACACACACACACACACACACACACACACACACACACACACACACACACACACACACTCAAACACACACTCACACACACACACATACACACACACACACATACATACACACACACACACACATGCACACGTACACACACAAACATACAACCGTACAGTAGGCTTCCCGAGCCCCAGTAGGCTCAGGAATCTGTACACCAGTTGAGTGACAGTTGAGAGGCGGGACTAAAGAGACAAAGCTCAACCCCAGCAAGCACAATTAGGTAAGTACATACAACCGTACAGCAAAATCCTGGAATTCCAACCATGTGAGGTTCGAAAATAGAGAAAGTCCAGAGATTTGCTACAAAACCAATACTAGAAACAAAAGAACTGAGGTATGAGCGCAGATTAAAAAAAGAGTTCAACATAACTACTCTTGAAAAACGAACCAGAGGGGATATGACCACGAAGTATAAGATGAATTGATGAATTGAATGAAGAAAGCTTCTTCCAGCCAGATAAAAGGACAAATGGACAAAGATTGAAAACTAAAAAATAAACGATCCAATAAACACATTTACTTCGATTGGTAAACAAATATAACACTTTTGAAAAAGAAGTCGCAGCAACCACCTCAATTCCAGACTTTGAGAGCAAGCGTGACAAAGCATAGATTTTACACGTCAAGGAGTGTAAAATCAGTGGTAAAATAACCAAGAGGAAACGGCCCCTAGGGCTTTACTACTTGCTTCTAGTCATAGGTCAACATAGTTAGGTAAGCAGACACATAGAGAGACATAGTTCTTGACACTTTACGGTCAGAACCAATGAAAACGTTCGCTATAATGCCACGTGTTCCATCCGGGAACCGAGGCGACCACAGCATTCAAACCCATTCATCGATTCATCTAAATCTGAGTACACTTCTTGGAATATCTCAGTTATACCTGATATATTTGACTCTGCTGTGTCGATATAAGTGGCTTATAGGGATATTTTACCAGAAGATATCTTGGTGAAATGTTTTGTGCGAGGAATTTGTAATTATGGTTTTGTTCAAGAAAATGTTAATATAAATTATGAACATACACAAGTATAAACGGGAACGCACGCACATACACACACACACTGGGGCCTCGCGGCTGAGTGGACAGCGTTCGGGAGTCGTAGTCATAAGCACCTAGGTTCGATTCCGATTCGAGTCGAGGCGGAAACAAATGGGCAGAGTTTCTTTCGCCCTGATGCGTCTGTTCATATACCAGTAGATAGGTACCTGGTAGTTAGACAGCTGCTACTGGCTGCTTCCTGGGGATGTATGTGTGTGAGTATGTTAGAGAGAAATATGCAGACACAACTAATAATTACAAACACACACACGCGCGAGGGAAGAAAACCTACGGGAAATAAACCTCACGTTCCTGGAAGACAG